AAGTAGGCTTATATCAGTCATTGAGTTTGCCCACATTTAGTTATTTGGAAGGAAAATTTTTTTCTTTTGACCAGTAGTGTTTAGTAAGTGCGAGTTTGCGACAAAAGCATGCATGAAATTCCCTTGGTCTTTTATCGGGTTGAGTTAAAATAGGGATAGGGCAAAGAACAGTCCTGTAAATTGTAGCCACAGTGCATCTTCATCATTTTTAATAAACACTTTCCTAGAAGAAACTATAATCCAAGTTCCCAAAAATGACGAGTAAACATTGTTAAACCATTATTACCTTCAACGGATCGGATGTAAATAGCTTAATCACGTCATTAATGCTGGGGCATATTTGAAAAAGCAAATATTCCCACTTTTTGGAATAAAACATTTGAGAAATCGAAGCCAATTAAGCTCCCTTGTCTAAGTGACTTTCCAAAAAAACGTTTCTCCTACTTTTTAAATTAGTCATCAGTTACTGGCATAAAAACAATTTGGTTTCTAACTTTAAATATAATGACACCAAGTAGATTCGAATTTAGTATCATTGAAATACATAATAAAAGCAGTTAAAATAGTTTAAACATCATAAACTTTTTTTTTTAAAATTAGATGCCGACGTAATTGCATACGAAAATCACTTTAGTGGATCCACTTTTAACGAGTTTTATGGCTAATTTGATGATGCATTTTGTTGTACCGTTCCTTATAAAACACATAAAATCTATTAATAAGATAAAAGTGCATTTCAGCAGATTGACTTGACCAACGGTACCTTTTTGGATTATGTTAAGGTTTATTAGATTGAAACGCAAGAAAAAAACGCTAAGCACAGGATGAATACAAGTACAGTACCTAGCAATTTTTCATTCTGCTATTTTTTAACTATTCTTATCCATCATCTATTCAAAAACCTGCAGATGATAAAATTGCTGTGATATAGCTTGTTACAGATGTTTAGTATGTCTCGTTTTAATCTTTCCTGATTATTGAATATTCGCTGGCTTTGTTTAAAGTAATTAGAAAATGGAGAATATTAGCATTTTTAAAAGCTGTTTAAGATCAAAGTCCTGCCAATGTCCTAATTTCCCCCAACTGAAAGCAAAAATTTGCCAAATCTGGACAAATAAATAAGCATATTAAACCAAAATTGGCTTCTAATGCATAACAACTAAAATGAGTTTAAAATGGCACCATACAAGGGAACTCAGGTGATGCCTGGTCAAATCAGGTGCCTTTAGAGGGTATGTTCTCATTAGAATCTTTATATCAGTATGAGTAAAATGACTGAAAACAGGTGAATCTTATTTTAGAAAGACTATTTAACACACACAAATATCAGCCAGTTCATTTAGTACCGAAATTTAGGATAATTTTGGTAAGCACATTTTGCATGAGGGAATTTTCGTTATTATGCCGAGCAAATGGTAAGTATTTTGATTCGCATTACTCTAATCAAAGGCAAAATAATCAGTAGATATTACCCTGATTCAGATACCTAAATCCTCTATACTGTTTACAACGACCCTGAAGTATTTTGACTAAAAATGTTCAAAGCATACCCTTAATTTCAGTTTTTGTAAAGTATCTAGGTTAACTTCCTAAATTTCTAACAATATCAACTAACAAACAATGAAAAAAATTTTACCTCACTGCGGTTAAAAATAACTAATAGAAATCAAAGTTTCTAGCTGCGATTTAGGTAAACATGAAGAATTTCAATAACAGCTTCGTCCATGTTGTTTTAAACAATTTCTTTCATTAACTAAAGCGTTTTTGTACAGCGGTGCTTTGCGTTATTAGTTTTCATTACCAGACAAGTTTGTTTAGAAACGCAACGTCAAAGCACGAATGCAAGGTAATTTATTTTTTCTGTTAACCAGTACAAAACTTAATTTGTGTCATGCTCTCCAAAAAATTAAGAACTCTGGAGCACTCAGAAGCGTGGCAACCGTTGCAGTCTACAAAGTGCCCTGTCGACTCACTTTTGAATGCTTCTGTTTTCACGAATCAAAAATGTCAACCGCACTCAAGATGGCTTTGAAATCGCACAGGGAAAAAGATTCTACAGCGGAAGTACAGAATCTTTTAAAAAAAGTTAAAAACAGGAAATTAAAGCAATAATCGCATTTCTATACTCTGCTTAGCATGAAATACATCGAGACAAAAAACCAACAACGTAAATCAAAACGTCAAGTTGTACTAGAGAAAACCAAATTATAATACAGGCTAGAAAAAAAGAATAGGATGAAATAGTCCAAAACAAAACGATGGCAAAATTACAATTTTTCATAAATCAAAATAACATGTTAAATTGCATTAAAATAACCTGACATGAGTGTATTGAGTCATTAGTCTGAATTCAGCCGAATGTTTATTTACTACTTACCAAAAAGAGTTATGTCTTGAAGTACCAGTGCATGCGGATGGCATTTAAATCGCGGTGCGACTGAAAAATAACTCTACAATTTCGACAAGTCTGGAACCGTCGTGGCAATCATAACAAGGCGCAAAAATTGATGACTTCTTTCAATGGCGATCTGAAAAATGCAATCCTTTTTAAACTTGATTGAATTCTCAAAATATTTTCTCGCTAAAATGACATTATGCAGATGGCTTGTTTAAGGTCCCGGAAAATAACTTCACTGGAATGTTAAAAGAACCTTCTCTGAAGAGAGCCGAGCACATCTACAAGTGTGTTTGTGGAAGCTAGACTTTTCTACAAATGACGGATCTTTGTGTGTACAAAATTGAGGTGCCTGTAAATTCAAATACAGCTTGTGGCTGTGCCCCATTTAACAGAAGTGCCATCAAAGAGCACTCTACAAGCGTAAAAGATCTCATTTTACCTATCAAAGGTAGCAGGTTGCGTTTGAATCATGTTAAAGATGTAGCCATGCACATGCAAAGTTATTTGAACATATCTGTTATTTTAAGTCTAACATATCTTCTTGGAACAACAAAAGTTCACCAAAAGAATTTAAATTTAAATACGCCACGAGTTTAAGTTTTGTTGAGAATTCCTTTTGACGTTCTCCTTACTTTAACACCTTTCGTTATAATATCGAATTAACCGTTCGATTTATTATGTCTCCGTTTTTAGTGTATGAGAGAGTATTAATTAATATAAATGATTTTTGCAAAATTTTGCAGTAATAATGAAAAGCTATCAGCTCTAACACATTGCAAGATGGCAGCAGCTGCTGGAGCTTGCTCCTCATCCTGTGGTTGAGCACAAACCCTTTTTCAAATTTCACACTTCCTTAATTTAAACATAAATTTGTGGTAATATCACTTTATTACGCCTTTGATTCTATCGTATGTACCAACAGGTTCTACCTGCAGTTGCATCACTGCTGCTTCGTTGCTGTAATAAGTGGAGTTTGAAGTTTTAGCCTTCAGTTGTTGTAGAATCACATTCGTCAACAAGTCTTAAATCACCTACTTAGTACCATAAAAAATGAAGAAATCCGAAAGTTTTTTGAATCATTTTATAGTTTTTTTTACTGTGGTAGATGGCAAACGCTGGCACTTTCCTAAATGCGCTTGACGCAATATGAGCAGGGCAAAGATCAGATAATGCTACTGAGTTCATTGGCTACTGAAAGTCATGCAAAGTCCGGTTTTCCATTGTACTTTAACTTCTGAATTCAAATGTCTGTTTACTATTGGAGAGATGGTCTTATCGTACAATTCCACAGATTTGATCTTTAATACTTAAAGAGGGTGTGTCTTCCATTTCTTCATTCACCGATCTTATTCAGCAGCGTGTTCTAAAATATATATATTAAAATTATCGGTTTAAGTAAAAGTGCATCTTGAACAGCTCTCTATCGAACATTTTAACGCTTCAAACAATTATTATTTTTTTTCAGGGGTCTTTTTAAAAAAAGGTTCCCGAGTTTAATTTAAATGGTGGTGGGCAGCAAGCGAGCACAGTTAGCAGTCGGGAACAAACGCAGTGTGCAAGTGTGAGCGAACACGATTCAATCGATTTTCGTGAATGCTCTTCAAGCAACTACGCACGCTCAGAGATCGATACTTAGCGAAGCCATATAAACGCACTTGTTATCCTGAACACCCGCAAGAAGTATTTACTCGACTTGACTGGCGTGACGCTAATAAACGGTCGTGTTCTCTGTCGACTCTGTGCCTTCTCACTTCTCGGGTTGTGACCGGTTGTTAACTACAAGGTTGTGTGGCAGTGCTGCTACAAAATCTTACATGGTGTACATCGGTTTGAATCAGACGTGAGGGTTTTATAGGGCTCAAGGTCGCGGTTAATGAGTTATCTGAAGTCTCAAATTCGTAACCGAAATCTTCTGGCAATATTAAAATTATGGATATTTTGCAGGGAACTAAACAAACCAGGAATGGGCACGTGGTGGACTTAAAAATCGCTTAAGTACACTGAATTAATCCTAGGTTAAGCGGTTGTAGAAGTAAAGGCCTCTAACGAAGTAATAACAGCCTTTTGTGTAAGATATCGTGTTATAAAATTAAGGTTATTTGGATTTCCGATGTTATGATCCACTAAAGACAAAACGTCGACATTACACTTTAATTAATAGGCTTTTGGACAATGTTTTCAGTTAAATCAGTCAAACAAATAAAAATCGAATTTTCGGAAGATAATTTCACAGCAGTACTCCCTAACCACGTAAACTATAAAATGTTCTTTTTTCGCCATTCCAGTCATGTATTTAGAAACCACTATAACAGCCTTTTTAGGCGAGTGGGGTCAAGGAAGTGTACTTAATAGGTCAAGTATTTCTTTTCATGCAAGTTAAAACTTGTAAACCTGTATCGCCGGAATATGTCATGACCAATTTTGCAATTTAACTCGCCTCGTAATTTGCCAACATACGCGTGTTAGTTCACGCACTCGTCTCCTGTCATTTGATTGGTCTATTGAGATGTAAGGAAGTGGAGTTGGGCGCAAAATCATCATACACCCCGGCTTCAGGAAGAAGTAACAATGCGCAAATCTAACTGTTGAAATCAGGAGTTGGATGTTTCATCATGGTGCCCTTGAATGGGGCATCGAAATCCTGAGAAATTCAACTACACTGCACCTCTACATACTACTTTGCATTTGTTTCACTACCGCTTCTAACGCAGATGGAATGGCATCAGCACTCGTCAGCTATACGGTGACAGAGGATTCCGAGGTCCCAATTACTCTTGGCGACGTCTTGTCAAGCCTCCGGTCTAGCACTTTTGTCCACGCAACTGTCGCTGATGTTGTCATTTTCCCCTCCTGGCAACCCTTTTCCGAGTATTTCCAACTTGTGTACAGGAGACGCACGGAACCCAACCGAAGTCAGGCTCTAGCTTATGCAAAGCTTCAGCTGGTCAAGCCACTCGATCTTGAAAAGGCATGCAAAAAGCGTCTTCCACTACCAAACTGTTTCCAAACTAGTCAGATCTGTTGTTGTGACATACAACGTCTTTTTTGTACAATCTACCTGCAGGTGGCGGCGGCCACGGAAGGCGGACTTTTCAATTCCCTTGTTCATCAAAGCTCGCTCAAGGTGTTCCTTGTCGAGATAAAAATTGTTGACAGAAATGACCATGCTCCTGTGTTTACACCTAGCCATTTTACAATGGAAGTTAGCGAAGGCACGAAAAACGATGAACTGTACAGTTTGCCGGTGGCGCGAGATGGCGATCTTGGTCAAAATGCGGAGTTATCATACACCATTGCGGCCGTTTATAAAAAGTCACCACAATCAAATAAGTGGAGACAAATCGCAGAAGGTGAAGAGGTTTTTTCACTTAAAGCGTCCCCACTGTCCTTAACTTTAGTGATAAATGGTAACCTGGATCGTGAGGAAATTGACGGCTATAAGGTGATGATAATGGCATCAGACATGGCAGAGAACACGGCGATGCGCCAAACGGGGACACTAACCGTTACAGTGATAATAACAGATGTCAATGATATAAGTCCTGCATTCAGCAGTCAAAACTTGACGTTAGAAGTTAAGGAAAATTCTGCCATCGGCACTGTGGTTTACACAGTCGAAGCCCATGATGGTGACACTGGAAAAAACGGTCAAATATCCTATGCTATTTCGACAAAACAGAAAGATCTCCCCTTTCGAATTGACTTAAATACAGGCTATTTGATTGTCAACGGAAGTCTTGATCGTGAACAAAAGGAAGAATACCGATTTTCTGTTGAGGCCTTTGATTACGGGACGCCAGCCAGATCTTCAACCTTATCAGTGACGATTCGTGTTCTTGATGAAAACGACAATGCCCCAACAATTTTGCTAATGAACACGTTGGACACTGACAAAAGCGCTTTGCCTACTCCCCATCAAGAGAAATTTCTCCTTAGAGTCTCCGAAGCGGCACCCATTGGGAGTCTCATTGCAAATTTCAGCGTCACAGACCGAGATGAAGGCGGGAATGAAATGACATCGTGTCACCTAATTCACGAAACATTTGAGCTAAGGCGCAATTCAAACAATTCTTACTCGCTTTACCTATCCCGACCTATAGACTATGAGATAAAAAGAATGTATTGCCTAAATATCGTCTGTGAGGACTCAGGGTATCCTCATGCTCTCACATCAGAAGCTGAGGTCAAAGTTCTTGTTCTCGATGAAAATGACAACTACCCGATTTTCCAGCACCCAAAAATGATTCCACCTGCCTGGCTCGTTAATGACACTCAGATGTATCAGTTTTCTGCGTTACTGAGCACAAACAAGAGCGATGATTTACAAGAAGTCAACGACGGTTTTGTTGTATTTCTGCCCAAGTCTTTCCCTGTCGGTGATGTTTTCATGCGTTTTCAAGCTACCGACCACGATGGTGACGATGACGACGCTAATAAGGTACATTTCTCGCTCCGCATTTTCAAGGAGCAACATGATAGACCAGGATTACCTTCAGTCACAGCGAACTCATCAAACCAAACTGGCATTTTTAGTCTTTCCGGGTGCACTGGAGAGTTAGTCCTGATCTCCTCTCCAAACCACGAAGAAACGATTACCATATACAAAGGCGAAATCATAGCTCAGGACAAGGCACCAAATCCACTCTTGGCAAGAAAAAAACTGACTATAATTCATGCCGAAAGTAACTCCAACGCCCCAGTTGTTCGGATATTTAATTTTGCTCTGGCAAATTCACTGTCACCCTATCAGATCCTTGATCAGGAGAGCATTTCGGGCTCCCAGGGAATCCTCTTTTACATTCCTTTACAAAATCGCTCACCTAACATGATTGGTCAGGTGGTCGGGTCTGACGATGACTCAGGACAAGCAGGTCACGTGATGTATAACTTAGCATCACATCAGCCAGAATGCTTCAGGGTATCAATTAATAATTTGACAGGACTACTTACGTTTGTGGCACTAACCGAAAGCCTTAGTGATAGATGCAAATTGCAAGCGCAACTGGACGTTACAGACAACGGATTTCCAAAGCGCCAGACGCTAATGAATATAACGTTTCAGATATTCGACGCAGGCATGTTGGATATGGAAATACTCGTTAATCAATCAGTGGTTCTTTCAAAGCAGGAGGACCAAAATAAAAATTCTTGGTATTTCGAGGTGCATTTGCCGCAAATTGGTCAACCGTTGTTTCAGATGTTCGTGACCGTTCGGCCGGGTTTGATTGAACCCAAGTTCGAAGCAAGGATCTGTCATGAAAAACCCGAGGAAGGATTTTCGACAACTTCAAATGTTGTCGAAGTTGATGAAAATACGGGCCACGTGTACATGTCGGAGTCTTTTTCAGTCATGGACTCAAGAAAATCCATCTTCATAACCGTCAGTAATCGGCTTTGGCCCGCACTGCCACCGAAAATCTACAGAGCCGTGATCGGTGTCAGAGGCAATGAAACCGTTGAGATGAGGATTGGCCGTGCAGCACAACTCGAATGCAACTTCACTGAACTGGGGAAATTTGAATTGGAAATGCCACAGCAACATCTAACAGTTTTTCTTGTCAGCATTTGGACATTCGCGAGCATGCTCTGCTTGATTATAATTGCTCTCGTTTCGATGGTGAGAACAAAAGGCGCGAAACGTTTTCTTCCCATGACGCGACTACTACAGAATAAAAAGTCGAGACCAAGGCTATACGACCTAGCTCGCGGTCACCGTAACTCCATTTACTCCAATGAAGCGTCAATAGAGATTTACGGTCAAGGCGATTCCTGCATCCCTCATAGTAAGTCAACAATGTTTGATACGACAAAGGTGATCAAAAACATATGCTATATTTTAATACGGACAATATTTGCCTATATCTGCGGTTTTCTGTGTTTAAATTTGAGAACTTTTCTTGTAGCAACTTAAAATTTAAAAAATTAAGTGTATAAAGCCTCGTTAGTGAAAAGGAAAATGTTTGGACTTTAAGTTAGCCAACAGTGGCGAGAAGGAAAGGAAATTAAAATTTTGAAATCCAGTAATCTGTTTGTGGTGCCCCTGCACGGCCACATTCATCTTGTTTTCGTTCCCAACAGAGGCCTACATTTGTTTTGGCCATTTAGATGTATGATAAGAGCTTCTAGGTCAATTTCATGAAATATGCATTTGAAATATTGATAAAGTTAATACTTTATACGCGGTAACTTTTTAAATAGAAACTAGTGATTTCGCAGAACGCTGAATGTTTTTCCGGTGTGGGGCTACACTAAATCTGAAAATTATTTTTGCAACTCCGAAGATAAACTGCTTAAATACCATGTGAGGAAAACCATGAACGATCATATAACCGAAAAACTCATTTATTTGCACAACGCCTATGGCACGGAAAATCATGATGTGTAACCAAAAGTTGTAAAAGAAAAACCAGCAACCTAAATAAATCTAAAGTCTGCAAACTGTCTTAATGCTGCACAAATTTTTATGTGGACATTAAGTGGAAAATAAATTAATATTTACTAAAGTGGCAAAATTTGCTTTCAAAGGGGTAAAACCTTCGCACGTGTAGTCACAGGTTTAATCTTCCAAGCACCGCAGCAAACATAATTAGAATCAAAAGTCAGTGTGTTCATTGCTTCTGCTTTCCGCAAACTGTGACTGCTGCAGGATTTCAATGCCCCGGTTCATGAATAACTAAAGTAGTGAATAATTATCGCTGTTGAAGAATTCTTGGCTTAGTTAGTTGTATTTAATTATGTGTTTTAAGGAAAAAATAGACTCTTTATCTGGCCTACATAGTTCAATTATTGATAGAACGTCAATATTATGTTTGCTATGAAAATTTATATATTAGATTTCAAAACCTAGTCTTTAATTAAAGTGGATACTAAATTAGTAAACTGGGGTGTGTGTTTAGAATGTGGACTGCATTTATCACCGTAAACACTTAAGTGTACTGTTTGACTCTATTATACTACTAATAAAATGAAACTATAGTGAACTTCTTTAAATTGGCGTTAGTTTTTCGCAGACATGCCGCGCTTCGATGCCAAAAATATTTAGAAAAACTTAACTAGATATTTATATTGCTAATAAAACTCTAAATTGCTCTGTAGGTGTTCTTTGTTTCTGCCTAACTCAACTGATTCCGAATTAGATGTGCAATGCCAAAATCTGTTTAGAAACAGTACGCATTCTCAAACCACATTAGGTGAATTAGCACCACATGAACAAGATATTCCTCTGTCACATTCTAAATTATGATCCACTTTTGTCATAAACCGTATAGTGCCGTGAGGGAATGACTTTGGCTTATCAGATTTTTTCCCAATTATTGAAGATTTCGAAAAGTATTGGCATTTGAACTTAATTTGTCTTATGAGATAATTAACATATTCAGTTGACGTTATTTTGAATTATTAATCTAAGATAACATCAAAGGGAACTAAGGTGTTGATTTATGTCTTTATTGATAGTAAATGTTGTGCTTCTGACACAAAATATATCATCATATTGTCGATTCCTGAAATTAGAGTGTAAGGCGGCATTTTGTCTACACACCTTGATTTCTTAAAATGTAATATAATCGTGGCAACAAAAATCATGTTGTTAAAAAAGGAAATTGAAATGAACAGACAAATGTTTTCAATATTATCCAACTTTGTATACTGTATGCCCGATTTTCGACGTGAGCATCTTTCTCAATCATTTGAACTCTTTATACCTTAGCGTTTGAGAATAAAATTTCATTACATCTTGCGATTGTGTGAGTTTTTCGTACAATAAAACGGATACTTTTAAATGTTTGCAAGACGTCAAGCGGATCATTTGCTCATGGTCAGAAAAGTCAATGCCTTTAAAATGACTTGCTTAATAACCGGCTTACTGCCTACGAAACTCGAGATTATTTTTCAATGAAGTGGATACGCGGTAGTTCACGTTAACACCTATGGGAATTAGCATGTAAGACTTAGTATTACGGTAGAATTGGTGGCAAAGGTCAATTATGTAAATTCTTCCACAGGGTGTAAGAAGTAAGTAGAAACACTCAGAGACAGAGTTTGTGAGGTGCGGTCATGACTAATGTAAGCATCGTCGAAATAAAAAGAAGTACATAAACCGAGATTTACTAAACATTGTGGAAAGTGGCTGTTTCACTTGCAGCATTTGAAAGCTAAGCGATTGCAAGCTATTATTTATTTAAAAAAATAAGTCGAGCGCACTCAAAATGTTACGGTAAAAGCGGGTAGGTTCATTTAGCAGTTATTATGTGCTGGCTTACAATCACTGCCACAATTTGTGATGATTAAGCAGATAAGTTTGACCAGTTGCAAATTTTAAGGTTAACTCATGCTCGATCTTTGCTTGAAATTCCCTCAATCTCTTTTTTTGATCTGAGTTTTTATATCTAGGACAAACTGACGCAAGCACACAGGCAGTCAATTTTCTTTCCAAATGAATCCTGGAAGTAAAAAGACAATTCTCAGTATGGCTAGGAAATATGGCCGATTGCAACTTTGATATTCTAAGGCTCTGGATGATCGTTTTTGTTGCATCCATTTATTTACTAAACACGTTTGCAGCGATTAAAACTATCGTGACATTATTGCTTTAATAACTTTGTAGTTAGAAGTTGTCTTCGACCACTAAAATTTACATTTTAAGTAAACTGAAGGATGACTCAATAAGTACGTCATTAATTCGTCAGATCACTGCATCTGCTTGCAGCCATTAACTGACTAATTTCAAACTGCACAATTAGTTCAACAGCTTTAACGATTAACATTTCTAGACAAATCCATTGTTTTATGCCGTTTTTTAAATCAAAATAAGGAATCAGAATTTAATCATTGAAATTATTTTCATGCAGTGATTATATTGGTAATTAGTTTTTTGGGCATTTGTGTACTGTATTTTGCTAGGTAATACAAGAGAAAAAATATTTCATTTTTTTATTTTTATAAAGTAAAGATGTCATCGATGTATGACACATAACATGCGGATTTCTAAATAGTCCCTGCAACTACTGAAATATCGAAAATCATCATTTAAGACATCATCTCAGAGTTTAGCAAGTAGACTAGGACCTAATTATCCGTAGAACGACAATATCGATGCATCTGTTCATTCAGTTTGCTCACATGGGTTCGACTTCTAATGGACGTCCGTATGAAGTCACCGGGTTGTTAAAACCGGCAATCACCTTTTAAGGGCCTGCTTCATGCAAATGTAACCACACGTAGAAAAAAGTTAAAATCTCTTCTACACCACGAACAGCCTGAAATGCGGTACTCTTTAGCCACTAATTGAAATCTCCTAAATATTTGATACCATAAATCAAATTCGTAATTAATAAGTTCGCTAACTTTGACCTAATAACAAGGTATCAACGCACTATAAATATTGGTTCAAAAACATGAAGTTTAACAAATGACTTGGTGGTTATTTGTGTTTATTATTGCCTGATCAAATAACTGCAACAGCGTGGGCCTATTATAGCCATTTCATTGGGCAACATATGTCTGATTCAATGGAGTCTTCAGCATAAGAAGGGGATCACTTTTTTCTCCTCAAGGACCAATAAAATAGATTCTGCAGCAAATGGAATCATGCAGCCGTCGAGTTTCGCAGGTTTAATAAATATGTTCATGTTAAATTCGAACGTGTAAAACAAGTTAACCTTGCTATTTTAAGGAGCTAACAGTATTTTATCAAAGCCCCCAGCCTGAACAGTTGTTTGAGTAACGCCATTAAAAATACATGCAATGCATATTTCATTTCCGCGTGTCCCTCAGCAGATCACGATGGCCCAAAGTGCTACTTAAATCTGTGAAGCTTCGATAGCAGGGCCTTGTCCACTTACCTCGATTTCCTCGATTTTTGTGAATGCCCACGAGACATGAAACGACCATGCCGTTACTTATTGATACGCAGCTACACTTAGAAGCATTGAAAAGTAAAGCCGAGGTCACACTCTGAATAATGACAGTAACATTAAAGATAACTATGCAGCAATGTAATATTATCTCACGACATAGTTATTTTTTACTTCTTCTTTTTTGGTTCGATTGTAAAGGCAAGTAAATAGACTAAGTTGTACAAGCAGTTGTACTCGTTTTTAGTCGCCATCTCAACGTGGTAATACCAATCAAAATTTATAATGCGCTTCCATAGTATTTAATGAGCTTGTTTCATTTGCATACTAGGGAGTGATTTATGGTCTTTTGCGTGCTTTATCTTGCTTGTTTTCATTAATCCAATGATATTCATCAAACGGTAATTTTAGGCACAACACCAATTTTCCAAACTGTCATCAACAATTGCCCAGTTTTGTCGCTGCAGCCAACGCACCAACAAGGCCCGAAACACGACAACAAAGGCGACGCGTCAACAAAGGCTCAGTTGCGGCGACTGCGCCACCCATCTGCGCTGCCCAGCACCGTCTCGTCGCCGGGGCGCAACCTGGCCGGCACTGAATTAACTCCGAAAGTCCTGATGGGGCGGTCTGCAAGACCTGTTATCGTTATTAGCGATACCCGCAAAGCTCTGGGAGTGGTGGATGTGCTCAAAGAGCAAAAGGTATCCCGCATGACAGGCGCAGCTAGTGTGAATATAATTGTACACAATAACTTTGACAAATCTGAGCCAGTTCGATGAGTCATTGGGATCGAATTGGCTAGTAAATCTTTCTGAATAAGAGGTGTTTTATGCATATTTTTCACACCAGATGACCAACTGATGGTTCTGGCACAGTGAGAAACCTTGTGTGTGATGAATAAGTTGGGTTCATGTGACAAGTATGCCAAGATGTAACAAAACTCGAAAAAGGTTTATTATACAATTATGTCATTGACTGGGGTTGAAACAAAAAAGCATAAAATAATCCATTTTAATCTTAAAAAACCAAATTTATTACACTATATGTAAAGTGAGTCACTTAGCAGCAATTAAAATATGCTCATATTTCTACAATCCAACAAAATAGCATTTTACAAAAAAGCACAAAATCGGTGACTGACAATGAAATAAATGCAGGTAGTCTGTAATAAAAAACGATTATGCATGAAGTATGCCAGTGTGTGAGTTTCTTAGGCAGGATGCTGATGCTGATTTATTCGTACAAGTAGTTTTTTTGCAATAGGGTAGTTTTATTCCTCGTCTGTGGCCAGGGATTTGCGTGAATGATCATCCATAATTAATTACGGTTGACATAGCTATAACGTGGTGACTGCCTTCGCATTTGATAGGCAACACCCAAGTAGTAAATATGCACAAAATGGTCAACAGAAAGTTAGGGTTTCTTAAATCATAGTTATTTGTAAAAGCCAACGGTAGTGCTTTTTTTTAAAAACCATGTTAATACGAAACGAGGCCATTTGCAAGTAAATATCTAGCAAAAATCTAGATGTAAACACCAGCACTATTTTCCTTTTGCGATTTGTTACTTTTTGCCATTAGATTGGCGTTATTTACTCCATGTCGACAACACGATTAATGCAACTTTGACTCCTGGAAACGTCACCCATAAGTATTGTAAAGGTGACTTATCGAAATTCCATAAAGTAAATAAGGACTACGAATTTTTCTACACCTCTGCTGCACTGACAACATAATGCATTGAGCTGCTTTTATTGTTGTACATGCGTGCTACAAAGTTAAACCGTCTGCAATGTACTAAAGTTAATAGCCAACAGAACAACCGTTTAAACGTCACAAGCATAAAAACGTGGACTCCTAACTACTTGGGTTTTTGTAATGGGAATGACATGCTTCCACAGCATACTACTTTGTCTGTGTAACCTCAATCGTGTAACAGGAAAAGACATCTGAGGTTGATTACCAGGATTTGTTGAAAGACCTTGAAGTAGATGTGAGTTATACTTTGCTACGTCCATGCCAAGATACGCAAGTGTTCAGGAATGTGTGCGCACACACACGGATCCAGCACGTTGCTTAATTTGAAAGGATCACTCACCTGAGTAGGTTGGTAAACTAGAAACAGAAAAGTAGTGTTTGGTGTGCTCCGGTTAATTATTAGGGTGTCAAAATTAGTAAAAACCAACCATGCATTTATTTAGAGAATCCACCAAGAAAATGCAGATGTGCTTCGACTTTGTTGCAGTTGCTCTTTCACACTTCATCCACTCATCCATCCCGTAACTGGTCGCGTAAAAGCGAGAGCACATAAATTCCTACAGATGATTGCAACCAACGCCAGCAATGCGGTCTTAGCAGTGCATAGTAGAAGTGCGAGTTTTGCAAAAGCATACCGTTAATTCCAGCCAAGCGAAGTTTTGGGCCAAGCAAAATTTCACTTTCCACTGGTGAAAATTCCTAAAGGTGAATAAATCCCTCATTATGAGCCAAAAAATGTTACACCGCACTCCACTTTTCTTTCTTTCGGTTTAATGCTTAATTCAAAAAGTTCTAACCTAGTATGAAAAGCGGAAATTGGAATGCAAGCGAAGCCTGCCACGAAAACCATTTAGCTGGGATGATTTGTAGCTCGAAAACTTGCTTCTAAAAAGTCCAGTTTCGATAAAATAAGGAGAATTGTACCTCCTCAGCCTCTTTCTTTGTTAAAACACTTGAGGTTTGGGTAATAAATGTTATTAATTTTTGTTATTCTAAGCATACAAAAAGAGTTGCATATTGTTAGCTAAATGCTAGTCAATTTGTGGCAGTAGATGAATGAAAGAGTTTGATAGGTAGTCAACCAGACTCTTTTGTGACAAATGAAGCAGTTGATTCACTTTAATAAACTGAAAATCCATTAGCCAAAATTAAAATACACATCAACAACTCTAGGCAGTAAACGAATCCATGTTTAAAGGGATTTTGTGTTTTCCTTTCAGTTTAAATGGGCTCGACTTTTACGAACAAGCTTCAACTTATACACAGACGTAAATAGTTAATGCAAACACAGAAGTTCTATTCATTAATTTTAGGTTAAAAGGCAAGATAAAGTAAGTCAGACACAAAAGCCTATTCACAATAATCAACTGAATCTAAAGCTATAAATAGGCTATTTATCCAAAAGATAGTCAACTACTTGACTGCCAGCCTGCCTTTCCATGGGAGAAAATAGTCACAGTAAGCTAAAAACAGCTCCACCTACCAATTTCTTTAGGGTCTATCACGAGCGAAAGATTCCAGCAAAAAAGACACACGTTGAGACCACTTTACAAAGATGTGGTCCTCAGCATTGTGGTTTCTGCGCCCACATTTTGTAAATTCATTTAACGCGTTGACTTGCAACTCTCACCACTTTCCATCGCGTTCATTTTAAGGTTGCCTGAGAATTGACAATAAAGCTATTAAATCTCAAGGAATCCCCAAAAAACACTTCCAAATGAAAATTCATGGCCACTGGTTGGTTTTATACCGCAAGCACGGAGGAAAAAGAATCAAATATCAGCCAAAGAATTCAAGCAGTAGAAATCCAAGATATCTTGCCATAAAATCAAAGTACTATGTATGCACAAACAAAAAAATGCCAATGCATTTATAGATTTCTGTTCTTCAGACCTTTCTAAAGGGAAACCTGTTTCCATGACTGGTTGATAATTATTTTTAAAGCTACACAAAATAATTATTTGTAAGACAGCTCCAGAAACTAATGATTTTATAAAAAGCATGTTGTCAATCCAAAAGACATCGGCAAGCTCTTTTCTGCAGTATTAAATTTGGTTTTCAATTCGACTTTTGCGAAATATGCTCTTCCTTTTAGTGATTATACTGCAGTCAATTATATTTTAAAATTTTTCATTTTAAAACTTAGTCTTAGCAAACATAGTACAGGTTCCCAGTCTAATAACTTTTAACCTTCCTCCCATAAATGTAAGTGTATTTGATGTTAACATTAAAAATGATTGTTTTATTCCATTGTGAGATATTAAACATACCAGTGTGCATGCTATATCCGCACTGACAAGATTAACTGGGTTATTTGATTTACTGACTCTGTACAAAGCTCAAACCAACTAGATGGACTGTACGAAAGCCCACATTAACACGAAGCCTTCATACCTTTATTTCCACCAGCTTTGGTTTCATATTTTCCCTCACAAAACCATGTTTCGGAGTTCTATTCCTATTATTGCATCATTTTTCAAAATATGATCTTCTATATTACTTAGCGATTCCGGTAAATCAGTTTTTTTTATAAAAAAAACAAAGCTTTTGTATTGTCCAGGAGCTGCAATGACACAGGTTACGCAGGTTGCTGAATGGTAGCGACAGCTGCTTGTTGCTACTCGTTGCAGTGATTTGGCCATCAGAGCGGTCGCCGTAGTTACAGCACCCCATGCACTGAAATAGCCCATAAAACACTATGTGCTCTTACCACTCTCCCATAATTAGCGATTCCTTGTTTCATGCTTCCCCTGACTCTCGATGTCCTCCAAGTTTTTTTATGCCGGCATGCTTGACTGTGTATCCATGTGCACATCGCTTCGTTTACATATTTCCACCCGCGGTTGTCCACTATCTCGACGTAAACCATTTTACGCGTCATTTAGAGCCCTGACCCGCTATTTCTGCGCAAAACCACCTTGTATTTAGACGTCCGATAGATGACTTTTTCCCCTTACGCAAATGCGATCAAGAGTTTGTAGGCTTCTGTTTGATTGGCCTTAGTAGTCTAAATGAGGGGTCACGTCATTTCCCCTTCTAGTCTTGGTATCTCACGTCGCGCCTAGCCACTGCAAATTGGTGGTCCCCGACGCGGGCCTGCATACCCCATTTAACGGTTATTTGCTGCTCCACGACCTAATGAAAAGTCAACATGTAGAAGCTATAGCAAGGTGGCCCATCTTATGTCTTCAATCCTTGCCTGGCCTCATCATAAGTTGCATGATGAGATGCATTTAGCAGGTATTGATTCCTTATGCTAAGTACTTTTCTTTTTGTTTAGGCCAAATTCGCATACCAAGTTTCTTAACAAGTCGAAAGTGTATTCAATAATGTTAGATTTTTAAGCAAAGATGCATTTGATGCAAGCATTCTGTTGAGTATTCCAAACCGGGTACTCCACATATTCATTTGTGCGCTGGAACCGCTTTAGTGTTATCAAGGAAATGAAAAATAACAACAAAAGTTGTTGATTGACCCCATGCACCACATTCTAAAATCATTTGGAAAGAGGGTGTTAACGTAGCTTAAACTTTCGAGCATAGAAAGAAAGTTAAAACCTTACAAAATTTCTTACATGTCGAGCCAGTTACGATACCATGGAATTAATAAATTTAAGCTGATAGAAGTGAAAACTAGCCCAAATTGGATGCACATTATTAGAAACTAGGTGTTTCAAAAAAGCATTTCTTGAGTTTCACTGCGGTGAAATGCCCGTCACAGCTGCCATGTTTAGTCCCATATCATGAAACCAGTTTTCAATTATTTTACACAGTAGTGTGTTGGGAATCGCATTGATTCACACTCGCTAATCCGATAACTTCAGCCTCCGACACAGGGTCCCCCTTTTCGCAGCCTGTAGCCAGCCATGGGGATCCTCAACTTTTTCCTGGATTGTCCTCACACCTAGGTCTTGAAGTTAGCTCATCTATGACTCACACATCTGAGGTATTAATGCACGCGCGCAACGACACCAACATGGCTTGTCTCTGAAGTAAAACGGTTGTGTCAACGTCCTCTCCCGT